AGCTTGTTCAACATCTACTACAGCTTGTTCAGCATCTACTACAGTTTGTTCAGCATCTACTACAGCTTGTTCAGCATCTACTACAGTTTGTTCAGCATCTACTACAGCTTGTTCAGCATCTGCTACAGCTTGTTCAACATCTGCTACAGCTTGTTCAGCATCTACTACAGCTTGTTCAACATCTACTACAGCTTGTTCAGCATCTGCTACAGCTTGTTCAGCATCTGCACTGAAATGATGTCAGGGATGCAATAGTCTTTTAACATTTAACTCCCATTTTGGGTGAGAAGATTTGATTCATAAATTACAGTCATTATATATTCAAGATAACAATTATCAATACTATCCATAAGATACTAGTTCATGGATTTAATAGTAAACCACTTGCTCTACCCAGTTTCCACTTTTCCTTTAACAAGTGGTGGTCCTTCGTAGCTATCTAATTGGCATCAATTTAAATTAAATATATGAGTCAAGTTTTAACACATCTGCGGTGTATGCGAGGCTGGCTAACATCAGAACTGCCTTCAGGAATCTGTGTAAGGAATCATTCAGAACCTTGTATACCACATATGTAAGACCAATCCTGGAGTATGCGGCCCCAGCATGGAGCCCGTAACTTGTCAAGCACAGGACTAAGCTGGAAAAAGTTTAGAGGTATGCCAATAGGCTAGTCCTAGAACTAAGAAGCATGAGTTACGAGGAAAGGCTGCATGAAATGCACCTCACGTCGCTGGAAGACAGGAGGGCTCGGGGAGACATGATCACTACCTATAAAATTCTCAAAGGAATCGACAGGGTAGATAAAGTTAAACTGTTTATCACTTTGTCCCCTTGGACAACAAGGGGGCACAAGTGGAAACTTGAGTACCCAAATGAGCCACAGGGACGTTAGAAAGAACTCTTTCAGTGTCAGAGTAGTTAACAGGTGGAATGCATTAGGCAGTGATATGGTGGAGGTTGACTCCATACACAGTTTCAAATGTAGATATGATAGAGCCCAGTAGGCTCAGGAACCTGTACACCTGTTGACAGTTGAAAGGTGGGACCTAAGAGCCAGAGCTCATCTCCCACAAGCACAACTAAATGAGTACAACTAAGTAAGCACACACACAACAACAATGGATTGTGTTGCAATGTGTACTCACCTCCACTAGGTGAGTACACACAGCAACAATAGAATGGAAAAAAAGGTGATGAATGTTTCCATCTGTTACGTATACTATACCCGTTTGTGTTACTGTGACAGTCTGGTACCCGTTTCTATGTCACAATCTTTATAAGTAGCTGCTGCTGTTTATTTACTCTGTGTCACGGCTGGTCGGTCATAGCCACTCACAAGTCTGGCCGTGTCCCTATATAGGCTACTGCTCTGGTTACATTGTTACTGCTCTGGTTACATTGTTATTCTTAATGTATTTGTTTGTCTAGGGAAATTGTTCGTCTACTTGTACAAAAGTAAACAAAGATAAGAGTAAACAAAAACAAGAGTAAACCAAAATATATTTTTACAAAAAAATATGAGAATACATTGAGGAGAAGCCTCCCCCCTCCCCCTCTATCCTACAGAACCTCACTGTAACACTATATTAATAATCACGCACCAGAATGGTTTACCTCTCTCCAACAACACAAGCAATAAGGTAAACCTTAATACTCTGCTCCGACAATCGAAAGTTTACTTAACAATCAACCTGTCACCATATTTACCAGACACAAATATATTAGGAAACCTGGACCCTCTCTCTCTCTCTCTCTCTCTCTCTCTCTCTCTCTCTCTCTCTCTCTCTCTCTCTCTCTCTCTCTCTCTCTCTCTCTCTCTCTCTGTTTATCCCACTTGGTAGTACCTCAGGTTACTCTAGGATCTCCTGCAATTTGGATAAATACAAAATTATGATTTACTTGAATATTTGGCAAAAAGTAACAATGAAAACTCAAGCAGTCAGTAAACACGATCCTCCTCCTCCTCCTCCGGCCAAGTATTAATGGCGTCCATCGGGTCTTGTCACGTCACCTGCCCCGTGATACTAGACCTCTCATCATTCCTCATCAATCTCTATAAACTCTCATATAAAAGTACTCCACATTTAGTAGGTTATATAAATGAGTCCATTTTCCCCTCACAAAATATTCACAATGTACACATACTCCACAATAAATCTCCAACTCTCGGTACTAGTTTCCTTGGCGGAGTGTTATCAGCGACACGCGTCTCCCAGTTGCCAGCTGCAGGTTTCTTTCAAGAAACAAATGTATAATTTACTACTTTTATGTACCATTTTCTTAGCTAAATTGTTACATATCTTGTCTCCACCAAAATATCTCTACAGGAGACACCCTCCAAATAGCAATAGGGGGACTGACTCAGGGACTGACTTTGAAGGTTGTATGATAGAAGACAGAAGTTGACTCGCCGGGAAAGAACATTGCAGAAGATCTTTTATAGTGTCCTGTGTGAAAGTGACACCAGATATTATATTATGTACATATGTAAGAAGTAAATATAGTTAAGAAGTACACATGGTGATTGTTTTGTTTAGTGTTGTTTACCCCCATTCCTATTGAAATGACAATTACTGCCAGTTGCGAATAGCTTTCCTGTGACTCAGGGTTGGATCGAATATGAAGTCGCCTTAAGGGTATATTTTTTATTTAAGTTTTGAATATAAAGAACCCGGTTACTGGCTAACTGAGGCCGTAACATAGACACTTAGAGGACAATACAACAATAAAGACCGAAGATCTGGTACACTAATGCCAATGAATTGTCAAACAAAGCAGATGAACTTAAAGAAAGAACTGAGGAAACAGACCCTGATGTAATAGCATTAGAAGAGACCAAACTAACTAGTATGATTAGCAATGCGATATTTCCAAGGGAATACCATAATAGGAAGGGGAGAGCCTAGAGAGAAGTCTATAATAGGAAGGGGAGAGCCTAGAGAGAAGTCCATAATGGGAAGGGGAGAGCCTAGAGAGAAGTCTATAATAGGAAGGGGAGAGCCTAGAGAGAAGTCTATAATAGGAAGGGGAGAGCCTAGAGAGAAGTCTATAATAGGAAGGGGAGAGCCTAGAGAGAAGTCCATAATGGGAAGAGGAGAGCCTAGAGAGAAGTCTATAATGGGAAGGGGAGAGCCTAGAGAGAAGTCTATAATAGGAAGGGGAGAGCCTAGAGAGAAGTCTATAATAGGAAGGGGAGAGCCTAGAGAGAAGTCCATAATGGGAAGGGGAGAGCCTAGAGAGAAGTCTATAATGGGAAGGGGAGAGCCTAGAGAGAAGTCCATAATAGGAAGGGGAGAGCCTAGAGAGAAGTCTATAATGGGAAGGGGAGAGCCTAGAGAGAAGTCCATAATAGGAAGGGGAGAGCCTAGAGAGAAGTCTATAATGGGAAGGGGAGAGCCTAGAGAGAAGTCCATAATAGGAAGGGGAGAGCCTAGAGAGAAGTCTATAATGGGAAGGGGAGAGCCTAGAGAGAAGTCTATAATGGGAAGGGGAGAGCCTAGAGAGAAGTCCATAATAGGAAGGGGAGAGCCTAGAGAGAAGTCTATAATGGGAAGGGGAGAGCCTAGAGAGAAGTCCATAATAGGAAGGGGAGAGCCTAGAGAGAAGTCCATAATAGGAAGGGGAGAGCCTAGAGAGAAGTCCATAATGGGAAGGGGAGAGCCTAGAGAGAAGTCTATAATGGGAAGGGGAGAGCCTAGAGAGAAGTCCATAATAGGAAGGGGAGAGCCTAGAGAGAAGTCCATAATAAGAAGGGGAGAGCCTAGAGAGAAGTCCATAATGGGAAGGGGAGAGCCTAGAGAGAAGTCCATAATGGGAAGGGGAGAGCCTAGAGAGAAGTCCATAATGGGAAGGGGAGAGCCTAGAGAGAAGTCCATAATAAGAAGGGGAGAGCCTAGAGAGAAGTCCATAATGGGAAGGGGAGAGCCTAGAGAGAAGTCCATAATAAGAAGGGGAGAGCCTAGAGAGAAGTCCATAATGGGAAGGGGAGAGCCTAGAGAGAAGTCCATAATGGGAAGGGGAGAGCCTAGAGAGAAGTCCATAATGGGAAGGGGAGAGCCTAGAGAGAAGTGGCAAGCAACTATTGCATTCTGGGAATGATTTCATTGAATGGTAACAAAGTGGTTGTGGCTGTAATCTACAACTCCCAGAGGACCACAATAAACGGAGGCAAGAATATGGAATTATGAACAGAGCATGTTTGTACATCCTCTAAGGGGTGACAGATACAGACTGAAATCAGACAGACAGATCTTTTGCTTTACAGTCTGTCACAAACAGAAAGGAAAGCTCCTGGTAATGGAAAACTTCAACCAAGGCCAAATCATCTGGGAAACAATGGGCCCAAGAGGAGGGGATGAGACATGAAGAGCAAAGCTTGTAAAAGTAGTAGTGAGGAACTTCCTGATGCAACATGTCAGGGAGCAAACAAGGAGAAACGGTGGAGAAAAACCAGCTGGGCTAGATCTAGATCTTCGCACTGATTGAGATGGACATTGAAAATATTGACTATGAAATGCCATTAGGAGCCAGAGACCACTGTATCTTAATCTTTGTATATATATATATATATATATATATATATATATATATATATATATATATATATATATATATATATATATATATATATATATATATATAGTGACAATGAAGACAATAACAACAAGGGGAGAATGTAAGGCTAGCATACAGAAGAGGAGAATACCAGGTCCTCTAGAGAACTCATGGGGGCGAATAAAAGAAGGGGAAGAGAACTCTGAGGTAAATCAACACAGGACACAATGGACGATGGACTACGTAACTGACAAACTCAAAGAAGCTGAAGGAAGACTTATAGCACCACTAAGGGTTGAGGGAAGCAAGACGAGCATTACCCCGAGGCTCAACAGTTTCTGGAAGCAAAGAGAAGCAAAAAAACATGGAAGAAGTATAGAGAAGACAGAACACAAGAAATCCACAATGCGAACAAAGAGGCCAGAAATAAGTACACATGAACTATGAGAGTGGCAGAGAAGCGGTACGAGAATAATGTTGCATACAAGGCTAAGTCGGAGCCAAAGCTGTTCAATAGTCATAGCAGGAGGAAGATGACTGTGAATGAGCACGTTATCACACTTCGCAAAAGTGAAGGAGGACACACGGTAAATAATAAGGTGATATGTGAGGAACTTAACAAAAGCCTTCGGGAATTACTCAAGCTGGAGCCTGATTTGCCACAAGAACTTAACAGCCCAAACTGAAAGAGAAATTCCACAGGAAAGCCTTACTGAAATAACAATAATACCATAACAAGTAAAGAAGTAACTGCTGGAACTGAATATGACAAAAGCCCTGGGACCACACAATATATCGCCAGGGATACTAAAAGAAGCAGCTGAGGCATTGTGAAGCTCACTTGCCATAATATTTAATTCCTCTCTAGAAAGGAAGAACTTCCTGACAACTGGAAAATGACTATTGTGGTGCCAATCTACAATAAAGGGGGAAGACAAAAACCGTTAAACTACAGACCTTTATCACTAACAAGTATCCCCCCTGCAAGTTGCTAGAGACTGATCCGAAGAAAGCCAATAGAACATTTGCAACTGATAACTTTGTCTCAAGGCACCAGCATGGTTTCAGCAAAAGAAAATGTTGCTTGATAAACTTGCTGGAGTTCTACAACAAGATGACAGAAACCAAACAAGAGAGAGAGAGGGATGGGCAGACTGTATATACCTTGACTGTCAGAAGGGCTGTGATACAGTTCTGTACTTAAGACTCCTACACAAACTAGAGAAGCAGGCTGGTGTATCTGGAGGAGTCCCAAGGTGGGTCAGAGAGTACCTCTCAGGAAGGAAGCAGAGAGTCACGGTGAGAGCAGAGACATCAGAGTGGAGAGAGGTTACAAGTGGAGTACCACAAGGATCGGTTCTAGGGGCCCATCCTGTTTCTAATATATGTCAATGACCTGATAGAGGAACTAAGCTCCCTCATATCCATGTTCGCAGACGATGCAAAACTATTGAGTAAAGTCAGGTTAGGGTTAGACATCGTCATGCATTGTAAGAGGAGTTGGACACTCCAGAAGTGGTCTGAAAAATGGCAGCTAGAATTTAACCCAGCCAAATGCAAACTATGAGGATTGGAACAGGAGTGCGAAGGTCACTACAGCAGTATAGGATAAAGGAAGACATATTCTTCAGTCAGAAAAGGAAAAAGACCTGTGAGTGGACATAACCCCAAATCTTATGCCAGAAGCCCACATTAACAGAATAACAACAGCGGCATGTGACATACTGGCCAACATCCAGTTATCCTTCAGAAACTTGGACAAAGGAACTTTACTGGTCCAAAATACAGCGAAGGTGAGACCCACTCTTGAATATGCAGCCCCAGCATGGAACCCTTACCTGAGCAAGTACAAGGAGGAACTAGAAAATCTCCAAAGATATACAAGACCTTGTTAATAGAACAAGACTCGTGCCGGAGCTAGCATAAACAAAGCATTAATTATGAAGTAGCATTGAAACTTGTTAATTAAGAAGTTAGCATCAACGAAACATTAATTAAAAGTCTAGCGCCAGTTAAATTTATTAAGAAGTTAACGTCAAGGAAACGTATTAATAATTATCTAGCGTCAACAAAACATTAATTAAGAAGTAAGCGTCAACGAACCATTAAGAAATTAGCGTCAACGAACCATTAAGAAATTAGCGTCAACGAACCATTAAGAAGTTAGCGTCAACGAACCATTAAGAAGCAAGCGTCAACGAACCATTAAGAAGCAAGCGTCAAGGAACCATTAAGAAGCAAGCGTCAACGAACCATTAAGAAGCAAGCGTCAACGAACCATTAAGAAGCAAGCGTCAACGAACCATTAAGAAGCAAGCGTCAACGAACCATTAAGAAGCATGCGTCAAGGAACCATTAAGAAGCAAGCGTCAACGAACCATTAAGAAGCAAGCGTCAACGAACCATTAAGAAGCATGCGTCAACGAACCATTAAGAAGCATGCGTCAACGAACCATTAAGAAACAAGTGTCAAGGAACCATTAAGAAGCAAGCGTCAACGAACCATTAAGAAGCAAGCGTCAACGAACCATTAAGAAGCAAGGGTCAACGAACCATTAAGAAGCATGCGTCAACGAACCATTAAGAAGCATGCGTCAACGTACCATTAAGAAGCATGCGTCAACTAACCATAACGAACCATTAAGAAGCATGCGTCAACGAACCATAACGAACCATTAAGAAGCATGCGTCAACGAACCATAACGAACCATTAAGAAGCATGCGTCAACGAACCATAACGAACCATTAAGAAGCATGCGTCAACGAACCATTAAGAAGCATGCGTCAACGAACCATTAAGAAGCATGCGTCAACGAACCATAACGAACCATTAAGAAGCATGCGTCAACGAACCATAACGAACCATTAAGAAGCATGCGTCAACGAACCATAACGAACCATTAAGAAGCATGCGTCAACGAACCATTAAGAAGCATGCGTCAACGAACCATTAAGAAGCATGCGTCAACGAACCATAACGAACCATTAAGAAGCATGCGTCAACGAACCATAACGAACCATTAAGAAGCATGCGTCAACGAACCATAACGAACCATTAAGAAGCATGCGTCAACGAACCATAACGAACCATTAAGAAGCATGCGTCAACGAACCATAACGAACCATTAAGAAGCATGCGTCAACGAACCATAACGAACCATTAAGAAGCATGCGTCAACGAACCATTAAGAAGCATGCGTCAACGAAACATAACGAACCATTAAGAAGCATGCGTCAACGAACCACAACGAACCATTAAGAAGCATGCGTCAACGAACCATAACGAACCATTAAGAAGCATGCGTCAACGAACCATAACGAACCATTAAGAAGCATGCGTCAACGAACCATAACGAACCATTAAGAAGCATGCGTCAACGAACCATAACGAACCATTAAGAAGCATGCGTCAACGAACCATAACGAACCATTAAGAAGCATGCGTCAACGAACCATAACGAACCATTAAGAAGCATGCGTCAACGAACCATAACGAACCATTAAGAAGCATGCGTCAACGAACCATAACGAACCATTAAGAAGCATGCGTCAACGAACCATAACGAACCATTAAGAAGCATGCGTCAACGAACCATAACGAACCATTAAGAAGCATGCGTCAACGAACCATTAAGAAGCATGCGTCAACGAACCATTAAGAAGCATGCGTCAACGAACCATTAAGAAGCATGCGTCAACGAACCATTAAGAAGCATGCGTCAACGAACCATAACGAACCATTAAGAAGCATGCGTCAACGAACCATTAAGAAGCATGCGTCAACGAACCATAACGAACCATTAAGAAGCATGCGTCAACGAACCATAACGAACCATTAAGAAGCATGCGTCAACGAACCATAACGAACCATTAAGAAGCATGCGTCAACGAACCATAACGAACCATTAAGAAGCATGCGTCAACGAACCATAACGAACCATTAAGAAGCATGCGTCAACGAACCATAACGAACCATTAAGAAGCATGCGTCAACGAACCATTAAGAAGCATGCGTCAACGAAACATAACGAACCATTAAGAAGCATGCGTCAACGAACCACAACGAACCATTAAGAAGCATGCGTCAACGAACCATTAAGAAGCATTCGTCAACGAACCATTAAGAAGCATGCGTCAACGAACCATAACGAACCATTAAGAAGCATGCGTCAACGAACCATAACGAACCATTAAGAAGCATGCGTCAACGAACCATAACGAACCATTAAGAAGCATGCGTCAACGAACCATAACGAACCATTAAGAAGCATGCGTCAACGAACCATAACGAACCATTAAGAAGCATGCGTCAACGAACCATAACGAACCATTAAGAAGCCATTCTGAGCCACAGCTCAGAATGGAAGCAAGTCGACGAAGAACTCTGTAGGGTAAGGCAGGTCCTAGTCAATAACGGCTTCTCCAATGGTTTCATCGAAGACATCATAAGAAGGAAAGTGAAAAGCCATGCAACCTCTGAAGAGACAACTAACACAACACCTATAACCCCTATTAGACTATTTTACAGGAACTTCTTTTCCACAGCTCATAAAACGGAGGAAAGGGTCCTGAAAGATATTGTTAATAGAAACGTTATCCCTACAGACAAAAATCAGAGGATACAACTGACGATTTACTATAAAACCAGAAAAACGGCCAGTCTTCTCATGAGAAACTCTCCAGACACAAAACAGAACGCTTTAAAAGAGACTAACGTCGTCTATGCCTTCAAATGCCCACTTGGGGACTGTAAGCTCCAAAAAACCCAGTATATAGGCAAGACAACAACATCTCTTTCTAGGCGTTTAACGATGCATAAGCAACAGGGCTCCATTAAGGAACATATAATCTCTTCCCACAACCAAACCATCGCCAGAGAAATCCTAGTAAACAACACAGAAATCATCGATAGATACAGCGATAGCAGGCGGCTTGACGTTTGCGAGGCACTACACATCAAGAAGTCAACACCAGCAATCAACAGCCAATTATTGCACAACTATATTCTACCCACCTCAAGACTCCGCTCCAATATAGAAGCATCAAGAAATATGGACCAATAGGCTTTCTACAAACACTTCTATTCAATACCCATTGTTTGTGTTCTGTCTTGTGTTGATACTTTTAATACCCTATTAATATCCCCTCTTGTTCTGTCTTGTGTTAATGCCACATCACCCCTCCCACCTCACTCAAATGTAGATATAAAATCGGAGATACGTAAGTTCTAATCAGTTGTGTATTTGTGAACTAAAGTCTTTGAAAATGTAATAAGTTTTACGAAACGCGCCCGTGTCGCGTCAGACTAGAAATAAAAATGAATTTTGGAGAATTGATTTTTGATTTACCTCCAACAGTGAAGCGTAATGTACGAAAGATTGAGAAAATTCGTGTTAGAATTATTAATCCTACTTTTCGGTCATATTTAATAATATATGTCTACAGGAAAGACTGCTACCAAAATATACTAATATATATATATATATATATATATATATATATATATATATATATATATATATATATATATATATATATATAAGGGAATGATTAATGATTCTAACTCGAATCTTCTCAATATTTGTTT